CTAGAGATTCTCCCCTCGTCGGATCCGGCCATGGCGACGAAAGTCCTCTCGCAGAGGGAGCAGGACATCCAGATGCTCCTCGCCTCCGAAGCCCATCTCGGCACCAAGAACTGCGACTTCCAGATGGAGCGCTACGTCTACAAGAGGCGAACCGACGGTACCCCGAACCCTAACCAACCCTGAGATTTTAAATCCCCCCCTCTCTCTTCTCCTGTTTATTTTCGATGTTTGATCTATTAGGAATCTACATCATCAACCTCGGCAAAACTTGGGAGAAGCTTCAGCTGGCCGCTAGGGTTATCGTCGCGATCGAGAACCCGCGGGATATCATAGTCCAGTCCGCCAGGCCCTACGGCCAGAGGGCTGTTTTGAAGTTCGCGCAGTACACGGGGGCCCAGGCGGCACACGCCGGACCTTTCACCAATCAGACTGCAAGCGTCGTTCAGCGAGCTCGCCTCTGATGCTCAAGCCTGACCCAGACGTGAGATGCTGGATGAAACTTTTGTGCGTGTATAATCGTTGGAAGCGGCTGAGGGCGATATGGTAATAGTCAGTGTGATGAGATGATCCATAATAGAACTGGATGAAAGAATAGGATTCGTGTAACCAACCCGAAGTTGTTGTTGTTGCGTTTGCCTGACTGTGTTTTTGTGTTGAATTGTCTCCAGCCAATCAAGGAATCTGCGCTCGGAAACATCCCGACCATTGCCTTCTGCGACACCGATTCGCCGATGAGGTACGTCGACATCGGCATCCCTGCCAATAACAAGGGGAAGCACAGTATCGGTTGCCTCTTTTGGTTGCTCGCTAGGATGGTTCTCCAGATGCGTGGGACTATTGCCCCTGGGCACAAATGGGATGTGATGGTAAAACCAAAAAAAGACACCTTGAACTGATATCTTTCGTAGATTGCTGGTTGTTTGTTTCTGAGCTATGAATCTTTGTATCTGCCAAGTCACGTAGTTTTGTGCAATACGTAGGTCGACCTATTCTTTTACAGAGATCCTGAGGAGGCGGCGAAGGAGCAGGAAGAAGAGGCGCCGGTGACCACAGAGTTTGCTTTGGGAGCACCTGACTATGTGGCAGCACCGAATGACCAGTGGGCTGACTGGGGAGCCGACATGGGGTCTGCACAACCGGTACCTGCTGGGCCTGTAGATAACTGGACAGCTGATCAAGGTCAATGTTTCTTTACTTTTTTTTTTGTTTCTGAATAGATCCCCTTTTCCTACCAGTTGTTCATGATATAGCTGCACTACAGCTAGAATATACCATTATAAGTGCTTCTACATGCCTTTCTATTTCGTGAAATCAATAATCCATTGATTGATGGATTTCACTAAATGTTTACTTCTTATTCTCTGTTTGATGCAAAATTGATGCATTTACAAGGCTCCCACGTGTGACCATCGGGTGCATTCCTCATCAATACTGCTTTAACTTTTTATAGTTGTCCTTTAACTTGTTTATTACGTGAAGTTCTTTTATTTGAGCGATAGACTAGCTTACAGGGTTTATTAATTATTAGCAATGAAATATTTGCGCTGCTCACCCATTTCTTTTGCCCAAAATACATGCAAGGGTCCTTCACAGCTGTAAGCACAATGTGGGCATGCATATATAACTTTAAGTAGCTTGCACTGATCAGTAATGTCTAACTAGGATGAAGTGAAGTAAGAGATGTTGTAGGAATTAGACATTGGCACAAGCATCATGTTAAATGCGTTTATAAAAAAGTTTAGGATCCCTGCTAAATTGGATGACGGTCTTTTCTGTTAATGTTGATGAGCGTGTTATTGGTCTTTCGTATCAAAAAAGTTTCTGATTTTAGTTGGAACTTTCCTATGTAATTTTAGATAGTTCATGTTTCAATATTTTTTTCAGATAAACTGATGAACTCATGAATCCTTCAGTTTTTTTTAGTTAAATTATATGAATCCTTCAGTTTGTTCCATTAAGCATGTAGATAATGATATTCATTTCCAAATGCTTCTTGGACCTGTAGACTCTATCTGGTTCATTATTCAGGAAATTAAATCCCAAAGAGGGTCCTCTCTCTCTCTCTCTCTCTCTCTCTCTCTCTCTCTCTATCTATCTATCTATCTATTTATCTATCTATCTACATATACACACACGAACGCACGCACACACGCATACAAGAAAGGAGATCATGACATGTGTCCCACTTAGAGGTGCTAAACCATATCCGTATTCGAGGAAATGTCCATTACGGCATTACCGTATCTGTTAGGGTACAAATATGATTACTCAAATCTATAACCGATAGGATATAGTTACGTATATGGTTATATAGTGAAATATACATATATGTATCCTAAGTATCTGAATACATATTAGTCATACTGTTACGATAGTTTTAATCGTTAGATTTTGGTTTTGAGGTTAATCTTGATGATCAGGATGACTAAAATTAGCTTTTCAGATATAAGGAACATATTAATGAACTTTTTTTGTATCACACGAACTATATTTTTTCAGTACTGTCCAGTTTTCTCATATCCGTTTTGTAGACGCATGCATATCCGCTGATATATTTGCATATATATCCGTATCTGTATCCGATTTTAGTGAATATGGATATGAATTTTTCTTACCGAGATGTATCTGTATCCATATCCAAGATGGGTAAGCGGACATGGATATGGTAAGTATCATTTCCGAGCTGTATCCAGACCATATGCACCTTTAGTCCCACTACCAATTCTAAATTATTACGATCGGTATACAATAATATCAGTGCAAACATGAATACTGCATCTGTACAATCACCTTCTGTATCAGTGCAAATACCATATTGTATCAATATTATCACCGAGTTTGAAATCTGTGCTGTGACATTTGTCTTGATCTTCTTCCTTTCTATATGGTTTTTCTGTGCAAGGTGATTTATCAGATTTCCCGCGATTACTCATGTAGGGGAATAACCTATAGCTCGAATTCAATCCATTTTAATTCTGCTAATGTGAATTGATTACTCGTCTTTGACGAATGCTTTATTGTGAACAGTTGCAGTTGCTAGCGATGGCTGGCCTGCTGCAGCTCCTCCGCCAGTGGAGGAAGATGCTCCTGTTGCTCCATCAGGTTGGGAAGCTGCTGCTCCTGTAATTGATGCTGCCCCACCACCAGCAGCTACAGGCTGGGACTAAGCTTTATTGCAAGTATCAAGAAGCAAAAGCTCGCAGAGCTCAGAGATGTTCTCAGAAGGCCTTTGTTATGATATTGAAATCTTCATCGGAACTAGTTATATATGTGGGCTTATAGGGCTTATAGTTTGTTTACCCGTTTTCTTTTACTTTGATGAGTTTTTGTCAGAAACTCCCTTTGCAGTCTAAATCAGGAGCGACTCACTACAAAGAGATGTTCGCAGAGCTCTCTTTGTTGTTGCTATAGATCTTGAACTTATCTTTATGGAAACTAAATATATGTGTGTGGATTGTCCAAGAGATGTTACTTGGCCGTGGCTTATCCTTTATCTATTTGGTCACGTTCCCATTGATCCCATAATTGCAGAGTGCTCTGATTTCTTTGTGCTTCAAGTTTATCTTGTCAGAGTTGTATGTATGGAATAATGTTTTTCAAACCGGTCACAGACTCGCAGTCTGTTGAAATAAGCTTAAAAAATTCATATGTCGAACTAGCGGTGACGAGCTCTTATCAGCAGAAACGAGTTCTTGTCAACATTCGGCGATATAACAGTTGTAAGGGTGTGGATACAGTTTTACCAGATACTCAACAACCGCATCCAGTCATATGAATTCATGCACTGTGTTACAGTAATGTGCTAATATTAACACTTCTGACTGATCTATTTTGTCCTACAATGGAAACTTTTATGTCGCGACGGAAGATCAGACGAGCAATTCAAAATTTTGTCGCCTTTTGACAATAGCATAATTTCATCAGTTATGCAGTTCATTTCCCAAGGGATACCTGCAACCTTTGAGAACGCGAGGGCTGAGAAATTCCGAGGACTAATTTCCTTATTATATGAAAATATTTAACACCATGCAAGCTCGAACTCAAGTGATCCATTTCTAAATCAAGCAAAATTTCTTTCCTCAAATAAAACATTTCGCATGATCTTCAGAAAAAAACATGCTCAATCAAGAAGCGCCTTTTATCAGAAAGAGATGATTAACACATGATAAAATACATAAATTAGGTGAACCTTTACACAAATTGCAAGCACACCGCTCCAGAAACAACCTGCAAAAGCTCATGGTATTGATACAGTACCAGATCATTCTTCTCCTTCATCTCCGTAAACAAATGCCAAAAAGAGAAGGAAAGGGGAAAAAAAAGAAGGGAAAAGGGTAAAAGAAAGGGAAAAAACTGCAGATGAATTTCGGGGTCAGGTGATGAAACAAGGATATTGATGAGCTCAAACAATATGTATATTAAATATTTACATGATAGAAACTGTAATATTTCACAAACAACGGAACAGTGCTCCAAAAGAATTATACCTTGAACTACTCATAGTACTTTCTATCAGACTACAACAAGGAATAAGATAGAACCGTAACCAAATTAAACCAAATTGTACAAATGGCTCAGAAGGAATAAAGTCAAGGGATATCTTACAGATGAAGGCCTGAATCCCACTCTCTGTTTTCCTTTTTGAGGTGGAATCTTGGGAATCCGAATCATTTTGCCTGGAAAAATTGTGTGTTCTCTAATTTCCGGAAATTAAAAACAAAGTGTCTCTCCGTTCGTGACCCAATGCACAAAGCTGTCAGAAAATTCATTGAGGTTATCTGAACTATGGGCTGCATCATTATTGGAATGGGATGAATGCATCTCTGTTGTATCCTTCCCCTACAGGTTAAGTAGAAAAATGTCAGTTTACAAACGAAGTGATCATCTTCTACTACAGAAGACTAGTTATAACAAATTGTGTCAGCTAAAATAGGGAGATCAGCACAAACAAAGCACTTTTATTTGCATTCTCGACTATAGCAGGGTCAAGTATTTTTCTCAAACCCAGTTGAACATCAAAACCCATAAACAGAGTCATACGGCTTTAACTGTCTTACCAACTTTTTGGGAAAGGTTAACTGTCTTTACATTATTCAAAGAGAAATGAGTTAGACTACCATATTTACAAAGTTCTATGTAGAAATGTTGCTTGAGCAGAAACTTGAGTTTGTTGGGCCTTGCTTACATAAGGAAATTATAAGGAGAATAAGATCCAAGTGTTACAACTCCCTGCCACCCTTCTTTGGGCTAAGTTAAGGTGCAGAAAACAACACCAGAAAGGTAGAAGTATGAGATATAAGGGAGACACATTCCTCGAGTCATCCAAAAGACCGAGGGAGCAAATAATTCTTCTCTCATATCCTAACAGAGTTAGAGAATTAGATAGATCCACTCCAAGACAGCTTGAGAATTTCCAACTGCCAACTTAGTATAAAATGCATTTGCATTTTATTAAATGCATTTTATTTTACCTTCTATCGCGTGAAATAAGCCTAACATTCACTTTGCAATAACAAGTTCTTAGAAGGTTTCAAGTGAGCTTCACAAATAAGCCTAACTTTCAGTCTGCAATTTATATCAGTCAGTATAACTTGAGATTCAACTCAAATCAAGCTTCACTGAATAATTTTACATGAGTTGGGCCACAAGACATTATATAAGAAGAAATACTTCAAAAGAAAGTGCATAATAGCTTCAGTTCTTTCCGATCCCACATATTTGATTAAATAAAAGTAATTCGTCCGCAACTAAACTAATGTAATGCATTAAAAAGAAGAAAACTCGAAGTTAGAAGTGCAGAAGCATGCTAACCTTTATGCCAGATCCATTCTCACTTAAAGGCGGACTGGTGTCAGCACTAAAGCCATTCATGACATTTTCAGTGGAGAAATTCCCTACGGGTGAATTTGTGGTCGTAGACCTGATGGAAAACATTAAATTAACAATCTTAAAATTATTGATGACATTTAGAAATCTCAGTATGTGTATATCTGCAGTTAGGATGTGTGTGTGCATGACAGAGAGGGAGAGAGGGAAAAAAGACCTGATGGAAAACATTAAATTAACAATCTTAAAATTATTGATGACATTTAGAAATCTCAGTATGTGTATATCTGCAGTTAGGATGTGTGTGTGCATGACAGAGAGGGAGAGAGGGATGAA